AGGCAAACTTGCATCTTATGGGGTTCAAAATCCTTTGCTAGATTGGATTGATTCATTTCTCAGCAATCGACATCAAATAGTTAAAATTAACTCTTCATTGTCTAACGCTGTCCCCGTTAGAAGTGGTGTAATACAAGGTAGTGTCTTAGGCATTTTGCTCTTTTTAGTGTTTATCAATGACATTTGTAAAAAAATTTGTGTAGGTAAGCCCCTTCTATATGCAGATGATCTTAAACTAGTATATTCATTTTCTCCACATGAGCTGGAAAATATGCAAACTTGCATTAACTTGGAGCTTAACAAGGTAGCACAGTGGTGCTTAAAATGGCAACTGGAACTTAATACGGCTAAATGTGGATGGATATGCTTCGGCGATACATCACTTAACCTAGACCTTACCATAAATGGAGAAGTGTTATCTAGGTTACATACAGTAGTAGACTTAGGACTTAGATACTCCCAAGACTTGTCGTTTAAAGAACAGATATCGAAACAGACCTCCAAGTCACAACGACTAGTAGGTTACATAATTCGAAACCTTTATAACAATGAATCACGAATTTTAATGTACAAAGTTTGTGTTCCTCTTCTAGAATATTGCACGTTTATTCTTAGCAGTGCGCGCATAAAGGATAAATTAAGGCTGGAATCAGTACAGAGACGATTTACACTTCGTATTCTTGGAGCTGATTGTACCTTAACTTATAATTCTAGATGTAAAAAGCTAGAGCTAGACCCTTTATGGAAGAGGAGACTCAAACTAAATCTTATTTTTTTCTTCAAACTACTTAATAAATTATCCTTTACATCCAATCATGTAATTCAATACGCAGAAACTCCTCATTATGAAACCCGTAATTCCTTGGCACTTGTGAAACAAACTTATTCTAAATCATCTCTTTATATGAATTACTTTGCCTGTAAATTTTCTAGACTCTGGAATAACCTACCACAACATATCCGTACGATAAAATCACTCCCATTATTTGTACGTTGCATCGATGCATACTGCTTCTCCGAAAATGCATTGAATGCTCTAGCACCTGCAAGTGTATCTCACTCCACAAGTGTTATTATAGGAACTTTAAATGTTTAGGCATTTTTATTAGTGCATTCTCTGGATAAAACCACCAACTTGCTGTCACTTTATGTTAATACCGTCCCCAGCTAGTTTAACTAATTTGAATATCATCAACAGTATATCACTGTGTCACATGACATACGCATTTTGATAGATCTGATTGACATATTTTGGTCATTATTGCTTTGTTGTTCCGTGCTCTCTGTTTTCGTTTTAATTTCTCTAGTTGTAGATATTTATCATTAAATCGATCTGGCACATGAAATGACCTTAATTAACCCGTTCATAAATCAACAGACTGTCCAGTTAAGAAATATTAAATGTTCCTGGCTGATTCATTGGATCGCTGTAATACCTAAACAATTACTGAACTAGTAAACTTAAAACTCATATCACATGTTTGTTCTGTACATATTATGATATTATTTATATCAAATTGATCATGCCTGTAAACTGGCGTGAATTCTGTAATTATCATTTTTTCAAATTATAAATTATTATTATTATTATCTACCTTTACTCATTTGTATTGTGATAATTGTCAATATATAAAGAAGAACACATCTAGGTTGGAGAGAGAACAATATATTTAACATAGATTAAAGACTGTTACATAAGTAGGATAACACTTGCAAAGCTGAGCCACGCAATTCGACCAACTCGAACTCATTCAATTCATTCTTTCCGAGATCTACATCTGGTTTTTCTCCGCCTTAAATGTTGAATATCTGTTTCCTTAATTGCCTCGTGTTCAGCTTTGAGGATTGAGTGGTTAAAGCCGTATGCTACTACAAATTCTCCCCTCGAGAGTCTTCTCTCCTGGACTACATTTGCAGTTCGCCTCAGATACACAACAGAATTTCTGGAGCAAACAATGTAGATGCAAACTCGATGTTTCGTGTAACTTCTCCGAACAGTTTCCAATGACTTGACCTTATTAAACTTCAAAAAGAAGGCATTGGTCTTCAGCACGAGTTATCGTCAACAACCCTGAAACTGTGTATTAAACAGACGGGAACAGGTAAAGAAACCTCATTATGTAATACACCTACAGGTATGGATTGTCCGATCATGCCTAAACATTATTGACGCAACATGTTCACTACCTTGCACAAGCTTTCTCATCTAGGTTTTCGTGCAACCATCAAGCTCACAGCAGAACGATTTTGCTGACCTGGTATGAATGAAGACGTGAGGGAGTGGGCACGCTCTTGTGTAATTTGCCTGAAATCTAAAGTGATCAGACACAACAAATGTCACTTATGATCATTCAAAACTCCCGATGTTCCTTCCGACCATGTTTAACTTGACTTGGAAGGACTCTTGCCAAATTCATGTCGATATTTTTATCTCTTGACTTATGTAAACTGTTTAATACAATGGTCAGTAACAGTTACGTTTAGGTGGACATCCCTCGTTCTATTGATATAATAAACCAGACTACTACAGGATAGATTGTTATTTAGACAGTGGAGCGAGAGGTTACCTGTTCAAACACACAAAGCTTTTAAACATTCAATGTAAGATAATCTGAAATATAATCCCTATACAAAATAAGGAAGTGAACGAATACTTGAGCTCTTTTGTTTTGATACATACTTAGATGTTTGAGGTCGATCCTTTACTAATCAACCTAAGTTGTTACGATAGTATCTATAAGGGACATTACTGCTAAGGCAGTGGCTTGCGACTTCGTCGAATGGTAGACAGTAAGCTTTGGCTGCCCTTTAACTATCACTACGGACCGTGGGCACCTGTTTGATTCTGAACTTTTCCGTTGTCTGACTACACTATTAGGAATCACACTGTTCCGAACAACCATCTACCACCCACAGGCAAACGGGTCGGTGGAACACTTTCACCGACAGCCTAAGGTTTCACGCTCTGCTGCGAAAGTGTAATAGTGGACGAACTCTCTTCCATTCGTGTTGCTCGGTATTCGCAATTCAGTGAGAACTGACGTTGGATACACTGCAGCTAAACTGGTTTTGGAACGACACTTCGACTTCCGGCATAATTCATGGATCCTTCATCTTCAGTGAATATACCAAGGATTCTTCAAAGTACTTCGGAGTGAACCTAAGAACTACATCATCAATAAAAACCGAGCGATTTAGAAGGAAACCGTATTCATGTCGGTTTTCTTCGGTACAATCAAAAGACGCGAGTCTCGCAACTACGATGCTTCACCCTAAAACCAAAAACCGTGACAACACTTCGGTAGTATCTAACAATGCGCCCTGGTAGAAGGGTAAGGTTTCTTGGACATTTGAATGAATGCTGTAGGAATGACAGTACATTACACATTGTTTCGTCTCGATTATTTTTGGTATCGTAAAGAAACAAAAATAAACTTCCTTTAATATGCTCATATTCATACTTATTTTGTACTCAAAAAGGAACGGCTTTTTGTTGCTAACATGCGTTTGCGTGTATATCTTTATATCACGAAAAACAATAATTCATTCTACGAAGACCGTATCTACGCTGTTGTATGTTTACGAAACGCGTTTATATAACTTTAATTACCTTTTTTGCCCGTTTTGTGTCCTTACGCACCTACGATTGGCATTCAGCATGCACGTACATATCCTTTTTTCTTTTCCCAGGACAGCTGGAAAAGATAAAAACGCCGAGGAAGATTACGAGAAGTCGAAATTTTTATTGTACTTGTTTTTCATTACTATATTGCACCGCATAACCCCTTATAGTAAGGAAAGACGACCAGATGCTGCTGAGTGTATCGAGCTATCAGAAGAATGTTTGTCGAAGACAAACCTGTTGGGTTCGAACTTATGGCTGGTTAAGTCATCACTATCCCACTAGGGAGGGGGTGATCTGTGAAGGCAAATAAATCCTTACGATCATCACTTTTTCTCAGGCTGTGGAATATCCTAGTAGGGTCTCCCAGGGCTCAGTGCTAGGATCTCTTCTCTTCTTGATTTATATAAATGATCTCCCACAACAGGTATCTTAAGACTAACTACTTTTTGCTGATGACGTGCAACTTTAGAGAGAGATACGCAACCAAGTAGATATACATGCACTTCAGGAGGATCTGACTCGACTTGAAATCCGGACAGATAACAACGGACATACATTTAACACTTCAAAGTGTAAAGTTGTCCGAGACATGTTGCAGACTACAACTACAACTTACGAAACTTCTCTTTAGAAATATCCCAAGTCGAAAAAGATTTAGGAGTGCTGGTACTCTACGATTTGAAGTCTTACGCTAACTGTGACAAAAATGCCTTTCGAGCAAACCTTGCATGAGTAAAATTGGTCAGTTTGACGGAAGAACTTTCCACATAATCTTCAACAGTTTCATTTGTCCTCCTTAAGAGTCCGAAAACATAATAATTCCTTCCTCACTCCAAAAGGATAAGAACATTCTGGAGCATATCCAACGGCGAGCCACGAAATCAATTAGGGGACTCGAATTCAAGCCTTATGAAGAACTCCTCCACTCACTAAACTTTTACTCATTAGAGTAAAGGCATCTTAGAGGTGACCCTCTGATGGCTTAAAGTATCGTTAATATTTCTGGACATCCTCTTAAACACCTACTTAATTTTAGCTTTAACACAAACATAAGGGGTAACATCCAGAAACTAGGGATACAATACAGCACAATGGACTGTAGACACAACTTCTACTCCTTAAGAGTTGTCAAATGCTGGGATTCACTGCCGACTAAACTAGTCCAAGTGACTTCTCAGGAGTCCTTTAAGAAGAAACGTGACCTATTTTTAAGGACTAAAGATAACATTTTATTATGATTTACCAATTTTCCCTCTCTTTTATCGTTAATATACATAGGTTCCTGCCTGGAAATATTGCTGATCCACTGCTGCTAGAGACGAAGCCCGTTAAGCGAAAGCTTCTTCTATTCCGTCCACAAACATTTCAACCATTTGAATTTCAACAATTCCGCGGCACTTGTGACCCATGACGCTCCTTCCAATGGAAAATGGGGAAGGCATTCTCTGTGCATTAAAGTGTATGGTCTTCATTTATTAAACTCACAAATCACAGGTTTTGAGCAAGAAAAACCGCTATCTATACCATCAATTCTCGAAGATTACATCAAACAGATATCCAGAAATGGACAAACTAGGTAAATCCATCACCTTTTAGTTGATCTTATTAGGCTTCCTTGGATATATGTAAAACCTCTGCTACTACATAAATACAACAAAGTGGTCGACTCATTCATGTCCGAGGGGAGTGGTTTAGATTACTCAATGCTAGCTACCCCACCTCACTTAAGTGAACTTAGGCAGCGAGTGTTCAATACTCTCAAAAGACTTGATGGGTAAGTTGTTATTCTAGAAGACTTTCCTTGTCAGAATACCCTTTACTATTCAGAGAATTTGTGAGCTATTTGATAGTCCTACTCGTCACTACCAAAGAGTGGATAAGTTCCTGAGAGGACTAGAAAAGGTAATACATGTACATTAAATTCATTAGTTCCAGGTTTGTATGGTGGTATCCACAGTAGATCCTTATGGAAAGTAAGTTCACGTGTGACTTTTACATTATATCAATCTTTCTGACAAAACATTACGTCCGGAGTTGTCCAAGTCATCATATCATAGGTTTGCGTACTAGGCTGTGCTCTGTTGAATGCTTTTCCAGCTTATGTAGTCATGTCTCTATTAATGAACAGGGTTAAGTAAGCTATTTTGTTGGAGTTGAGCAACGATTTTAGCAGTCCTTAGATCCTTAGACCAAAATTTGGCCAGTAACAAAACTAAGGAGATTTATCGTTAAAAAAGTAGTGGAGACTAAATGTGTTTGCTCTTTTTAAGTAGTTTCTTAGTTCACCAAGGTCCGTATTCGGTCTTTTTAAACCATGAAACAGGGACACTCGTTCGAAAGATCAGTTTATGCCTAGCTAGTCGAGCGAGTCATATAGTACTGTAAATATATGGTAAATTTCACTATAATTGTATACGAAAGTTCTGAAAGGAAAGACAATGAGATCCCTGATATTTTAACGCGACTCATACGGCATAAGTGTTTGTTGTTCACTGCGCCAAGGAATACATGGTCCAGTTAAGTTTATTTCGTTTGGATTTATCCCTTAATCCTATTTTCTACTAGTTGTGATATCAAAACTATTCATTTCTCTTTGAGGTGCAATAAAGCTCCGTGGTTGTGCAACTTATATTAACAATATTTCTCTTTCACCGCCTCAACCATTATATGTTTGATGTCAAAGTGGTGTGTATGTTTCACGTGTCGTGTATTTGCCCGACGAGATATTTGTCACCAGTACGCTCATTTATCCTCGTCGGACTTTCTACAGTAAAGTTGAGTTATCAGGGTAATAAGTTAGAGCACGGATTGTGCTAACATTGTCTTTGGGATAACTCGAATGCTATTTCGGATAAGCATTGTTCGATACTTATTTGCGTTTGTTGCAAAATTTGAAACCATTTGATCTAAGATTTTTGCTGTATATCAGTCGAGTCAGTGAGTCAATCATAAACACCATAAAACCTAGCACAAATATGCGTTAGTCCGTTTTGCCACACCTTAGTGCATTAAAATGAAATTATCAATAATATAAATAGGTTGGGCTATCTGTAATGATTGGGTTATGTTAATTTATGGTTTTATTACGGTGAAAGTGAAATCAGTAGTCCATAATGAATATCATTATGTACTCGAAAGCTTCCTTTATCCTCCACTTTTCCAGATTATGTGCTGAAAGCTTATTAAAACAAATTTAAGTATTGCTACTTCTAGCTCTACTGTTAAACTTATGTTCTAGTTAATATTCATTGTTTTCAGCAAAATTCATCAAGAAGATCCCAGGTTCCCAAGCCGTGCTGGTTTGGATGATTGTGGGTTAATAATGGAGGGTTCTGTTACTTCACCACCCACCTCTCCATCTCCTGACAATCCTCAAGTACACCATATTTCCAAGTCCTCAGATGAAGAGGTCACTGAAGAGGAAGATGACGAAGGTGAGGATAATAGTAGTGATGGGAGTGATGAACGACAATCACCAAAAGCTGATCATAGTATGAATCCAAATCCATTAATGAACAACTCTTGTGCAAGTTCGTGGCTTTTCAAAACACAAAATGCATTGAATCTTCCACACACTCCTCCACTGCCGTTTCGTAGTTCTGTTTCCAAAACCAGGTTGGCAGATCAGTCTTTAACAAGTGCTCCTTTACTCAGTGTAAGTTTGTGAGCTGAGTGGTTATCTCATTCGCCTTAGACATGAAATTACCTTTTCCTTGGTTAAAGTTGAAATTTGATTGTGTGTTTAGACGTATGAACTTTGTGTAGATGTGATTATCATGATCAAGTAAGAACTAGGTTACAAGTTACAAATTGAATACATGAATAGCCAAGCAGTAGTCTACTTCTACATGAAACACGGTAAATGTTATAATAATGTTTCTAAAAATTAAGAAAATTTTCCTTTCTTGTAGGGTTTGTGTGGTAGTCTTCTCTCTGCATACTCAAATAATGACGAAGATTACGACCAACTTAATCGATCGTCAGAAAACAAACATACTGATTCTAATACCCAAGCTAATTCCGATCACTTATCGTCTATTGGATCTGACTTCTGCTCTGAGTCGTCTGAGTGTTTACACGCTCTACCTATAGAATCTAACTTACAAGAAAAGCCATCAGATGCTTCACATAAACTCTCTTCAGTTGTACAAGATAAAATGCAAGATAATTCTCTCCCATGGAATGAGGCGACTAAAATGCCAATCGTCAATTCGGAAACATTAGAAGACACAATAGCTCAGTGTGATAAATCAGATGAAGTATCTAGCAGTGGTCTTAAACCTTCAATTTCCAATGTAAACCGAAATGATTCGCCTTCCAGAGGATTAGAGGTTAGTATCCAAATGAGTTTTGTATGATATATGTATAATCAATTTGGGAACGCTAGTCTTCAACTACTCTGTAACAATATATCAAGTGAATATAGCAGGTTTCACGAACACTGTATTTTATTCAAGTTATCACTTCCTGATGTGAATTTTTAATTTTTTTTAACAAAACTCCTAAGTGATCTAATCGCGATACTATAAAGTCTAGAATGTTTTTTTTATTGGAGGGAAACGTCTTACTACTAGTAAGTTATGGATAGTGTTAATTTTGAAGATCACGTCTCAGTATTCACGTTAGACATATAATTAATCATCGACTCAGAATTCTATACAATTTATCTGTTTCCGCTCGTGTCCTGCCCTAGTAATACTGGAAACAAGTTAACAAGTTCTAAGCTTTTGGATTCACATAAAAGCAATAAATTCCTCATCCATTATGAAAGTTTATGAATTCTAATACTTCACTGTTCGTCTCAAATCTTATTCGAATTCAGTGACATTTAGTGGATGACAGAATTTTGCTTTGACTTTATAGCTCGACACAACTGGAGATGAAAGTGGTTTGGTTGGTTGTCAAGTCCTGAGACCTATTGGTCAACTTGAAGCATTTGTACAAAATTTAAATTCTGAAGTTTCTAGCTCAGTAACGTCTGTACCATTGCACAGTGGGTCTCCGAAATCTACAAGCGACCCATCTGCTCATTTGAGTTGTGTATCATCTATGGAGGACCTAAATCATCAGGTAAATCAAATTTATATTCTCAATTTTTGTGTGTTTAGAAGATAGTTCTACTCTTGACAGCATGATTATTGTAGTTTAATTAAAAAATGACTCAGTAACCGAAATATGACATCTTAGTTTATGTAAATTCCTTCTTTCGTAAAATATCGGATTTAACCCCGACTAAGATCATCTTATTTTGATGTATCATATAAATCAGATTGTCTTTTTGAAATATAGTCACTTAAAAAGCTCCAGTGCATGTTTTAGAGTCTCTGATGATCCTCAATTGTAAAAATCGCAGTAGCAAGTCTTAAAAGTCTAAGTCGGTGATCTAATTTACTATAGTGTATGGCCATTGAACCTAATAAATACTTCTTTAAAGTACATTACTCCAGTTGGTTTGAAAGTCTTTGATTTTTCAGTTTCATTCTTACTGTGACAGTTTCGGCGTTAGCACCAAAAAATTCATGTTACATTTGCTTAAATCTCCCAAAATAACTTGTAAGACCGATTATCTCGTATTTGTTTTTTGTAACTTTAGATTTCGTGTTTTTCTTTTCAAACTGCCTGTTTTTTCTTAGCATTCATAAGATGTCCTTATCAACTTGTTGATGTCTATGTTATCTCGTCACCGTTTTCAAGAATATCAGTCCCTAAGTAGGATGTAGGATTATGTATTTTCCATCTGTATTTCTGATGTTACTGACCTGAGTTCAGTTTAAACACAATGGAGTTTCATTACCAAAATTACTTCATCATTGTATTTATAGACTGTTTTTATTTTCTAGGGATCAATTACTTCATCTAACTCACTCTTACCTGTTTTGGTTGGCGTTAGACGTCCCCGTTCACCAGGAATAGATTCTAGTGGTAGTGATCCAAATGTTTCAACAAGCAAAGATGCAGATTTGTCGGAAAGTCCTGCCAAAAGACGTAGACTTCCGTCTTCAGATTTAACTGAAACAGTAGAATCCAGTACAGATTCATTAGTAAGTTTTATCCCTTATAGTTTTGGTCAGTGAATTGTGATACGGTGTCTTGATAACTATAAATACAATAAAAGTTTGAGGTTATATCACTTTCTAGTTTCTAAGGTGATATATTTTTCATGGAATTCTTATTTTTTGCTTAGGTTTGGGCTCCCGGTGCCGTATTCCAGCTCTCACACATACCGAATGATTTGTGTGACGCATATGCATTTGGTGCCTTCTTGTATCAATGTTTATGTGCTTAAATAATGATAGTAAATAAGTCATAATTAGTTACCTGAGATTATTTAGTGTTACGTTCGTTTATACACTTTTGATTATGAACCCTAATTTATATTATCTTTAAACTATTCTTAGTTTCCATCCGTTCGCACCCAGTAATTTTTCTCCTGATATTAAAAAAAATAGAGTTGCTGTGAAGATGACATCTTTCTTGCTATGGGTGTATTATCTAAAGCAGGTTGTTTAGTTAATTAACTACCATTACAAATAATCTCTTATTAAATGAACATATGATTTATTTTAGAACCGAAAACTATGTATGTAGCGTCAGAACATTGACAAATCATAAGCATTTAAAACCGATAAACAATGTTGGATTCAAGTTCACCACTCGGTTCTCTTTTGTTCTATTTAGATCTTTTATTTAAAATTTTATGAGTTGTTTTAATGTACTTGTATAGTAGAAAAATAATTTCAGAAAATTTATGTGGGAAATTTTAACATCTTAAGATTTAGTCATAAGTGTCAAGTTAATGCCATTCAGTAGCTATATTTTTACTATAATCTATGCATTTGAGACTGTCTAACGTGTTGATATCAATCTTTTTTCATTCTAACAGGTTGGAATTAGTTTCCAGATTGTGACTTCATCATCTTTGGCATTGAATGATTCTCCTCCCATTATTATGTGTAATCCTGCGAATCAAACTCGTGATATGGATTCTGGTGAATGCATTTTCGAAGCTTCAGAAAATCCTAGTTCTGGTCTGTCTGTAGTAGATCCAATCTCAGCTAGTGATAACATATCTAACTTACATGAAGTAGTGAACACTAGTTTCGCACAAAATTCTGAGTCAAGTTCAGAATCTGTAGAAGGAAGTGAAATAGTTTTGATAAACAATGATAATATTGGTCTATCAACTATAAACTTGTCGAATATTAATTCGGAAACCGGAGAAGAAGAGTCATAACATCTCATCTTTAATCATAACTACCAATGTTTTCTAGAAAAATAATGTGGTCTCAAGAAATTTCATAAAAATACTTTTTAAGTGTATATCATATTACTTTTATTATCGTTGTAAAATTTCTGAACGTGTTTGTTGTTTTGAGATTTTCTGATTGTAATCGTTATTTTGATACAGTGTACTATTCATAACTATATACCAGTCTTTAAAATTGATAGAGGACAATCTCATTTATTGGTTATTTTTGTGTTTTAAGTGGCTTATGTTGTTTCTCATTGTAAATCTCACTCTTGAACGACTTGAATAAATCAGCATCGTTTAGTTTCGAGATGAAAGATGTTATCATTTGTCAATTTGAATCCTATTTCACTTTTTGCCGACAGTCAATTTAATAACATTGTGTCAAAACTGTAAGGGTTTACCAGTTTTATAATAAAAAAGTGCTAGGTTATTATCACCATTATTTGTGTATTTAAATTCTATATACTTGGGAGATGATCTAACTTAAAAAAAAATATTGTAAGCTAAGATTTTAGTTACTTGACACTCAAGAATTCATTTGGATTTCGAAACGTAGAAGCACTAATGTGTTTAGTCAATTATTCTTCATTACGTTAGTTATATATATCTTGGGACGTGATATAAATGTGTGTCACTTCAAGCTATCACACCCTAGTAAAGCACAGAAAAATAAATAATTAACCAAAGTCGAAAACACAAAGAAGTGACAATGATTAAACCTATTTCATTGAAAAATGAAGTATTAAGACATATAGTTCAAAAGGAATAAATTAGGACGGTAAATGACCTAACCGCATCGGTCTTAATCCATACCACTTATTGTTTATGGTTGTAGTTTTGACACCAACTAGTAAGTCGATATCTCCCTACACGGATCAGACCAGAATTCGGTGACTCAGCATCCCTAATTGGTTTCTGTCATACCACATTTGATATCATATCCACTTTTAGAAGTAGAACTTTATGCATAATACTTCCCAGTTTTGTCTCAAAATAACCATCTAAAGTTGGCTCATGTTTAAAGATTCTTTTTGTCTCTCATAATATGTGGGTGTACGTTTCATATCTGGTAAAATTCAGATATTACACTGAAGACAATTCAACTAACAACAAATATTTAAGCATCAAGGAGGACGCATGTCAATTGCGTCAAGAAATAATAGAAACGGTCAAATAATATTACATAGATGTAACGTCCGTCGTATAATAGAAATTGCTTTAGGTGTATCGTGCTTTTATAACATTATCTTCGTATATATTGTGAAGTCTTGCTTTGAGATTGAAAAGATTTCAACTATTTGTAAGTCTGTATTATCCTATAAAAGCTCCCAAAACGATTGTGTTTAGTAAATAATCATTCTTCACATCTGTTAAACGTGGTTGCCCCAAAATATGCTAGGAATCGTATATCAAATCAAGTATATTTTTCTCCTTGTTTCTCCACTCATAAAGCAGTTCTTTAATGATTGTAAAATTGGTGTTCAAATTTGGGTATGTAATCAAATATTTAAGAGTAGTTTAACTGAACTTTTGGCGAGACTATAATTTATGGGCGAACCAACCAGGTATAAGATAACTGGTCTCGGATTTCGGCGCGAAATTCACTCATCCCTTTGGCTAAATAGAGTTTTGGCACTATAGCTGGTGTCAGTTCGTGATGAAAACCCTAAATCTAATTCCTAACCCTAACCATTAACCGTAAATCCTAATCTTAATTCCTCACATAGGTTAATAACCCTCATTTGGTCTTAGTCTTTAGATGGGCACCTTCAAGGTCACTTTGGCGTCGCTCAAAGGTCGTCCATAAATTATAGTTTCACCGAACTTTCTAGTCAGCTCACGGTATACTGTCAAATCAACTGCTTTTACTCACTGTAGGTCAAATCAGTTTGATTATGAATGTAATTACAGTGCTGTGAATTCTTACATTCTTTAACTATCATGGTATTTCTTTAACCTTAGTTTGTTAGTAAGATAGGTAGTATTGGACATAATTTCATTAGGAATGGAATCTTTCTTCGTCTCCTAAGTTTCCACAAACTGAGCACTATGTATTTTACATCTAATTGATTCTGATCGCTCCACCAAAATTCTCCGAAATCATACGGTCAGAATAATCGGTTCAAAGGGGGTACAAATGAGAAACTGTGGTGTTTGAATGAACTAATGATTGCTTTGTACTTGTTGAATGCTTGATTTCGAATTCTAAATACAATACATTCGTTAGTGCTTGTGTAGTACTTCTTGATTCAATTGCGTTATTTCTAAGATTCTTAGTTCATACTATAATTCAATTACTCCTAATTATCATAGCGGCGTCGCGATGGGGCCTGCGATGGAACAGTTAGATATTCATTCGGATTTTGATGCTTACGAGGATTACTTTGAAAGGTTCGAAATCTAGGCTATGACCAAGGAAGATGATGAGAATATTAATATTGTGGCACATTTTCTCACATTCATCTGAAAAGAAGCATATAGCTTAATAAAAATTTTGGCTTTACCGGAAAAGCCCATTTCTCTTCCTTATACAACTCTCAAGGAACTACTTCTAGACTATGCTAAGTATACAAATTTCGAATGCAGTAAAGGGCGATTTTGTAAAATAATTCATGATGATATGAAAAATTCCACTACATTATGTCACCCCATCCCAGTGCATACTCAAGTTTATGCAGATAATTCATTGAGGAGTTGCAATGCAGTTCACGAAGATGGGCACAAGTTTGGTCTATGTTTGTCCTGTGGCAGGTTCCACCCTTTTAATTCATGTATATTTTGTTATTCTAAGTGCTTTAAATGTGGTGATATTGGACATATTCATTCAGTTTGTAATTCTGATCCTAATAAGTTGAGTATTTATAATGATCATTTATCTTTATCAATGATTTCAAAAGAAAATTTAGGGTCGTATAGCAGTTCAGACTTAAATGAAACTCAGAATCCTTCCGAGACAACAATTCCAAATCAATCAACCTATCGGATTTCCCATGTTATTGTACCAGATATGATTTTTCCTAGTGATTCACTTATTTTTGATGAAATTTCTCACAAATCTGGTGAAAATATTTCGAAAGAACTTAATCATCATTGAAAAACTGATGTAGTTTTAACTGATGCTGATTTTTCTAATGATCCTTTACTCTGCAATGACATTCCTAAAAAATTTGAGGAAACTATTTCGGAAAAATCAAATCTTGATGTCATATCAAATATTACTTGTCCACATAATGCATTTGTTTCTTATGGGAAACTTGTTCATTGCGAAGCACGAGTATTAAGTGAGCTCGATTCTGACTACAATTCAGATAATTCCATATCAGCTGTTGTTTGTCCTTATCATAAAGTCACTTCCAATGTTAACTCTGGTTAAATTGAGAAAGATGTTTTTAATGAAGCCACATTATTCATAACTTGGGGATATGATGAACCGACATTATTTCGTGGGGGAGGATAATCTATGGTTCATATCTTAGGTAGTAGTTCCAGTATTCAACCGGCATGGTGATTGTACACAATCCCAGAAATCAAGTGAGTCTGTTCCGATTTTCGTTGTTAATTCTAATACTAATGAGTGCATCCTAGATAATACAGAGTCTTTATCCAATACATTGTCGGACAGACACAACATGAACTTGAGGAGAAGACGTACAATTGATTACAGACACTTAGACTCTAATTTAAGCTGTGGCGGATGTGGTGTTTGAATGAACTAATGACTCCTTTGTACTTGTTGAATGTTTGATTTCGAATTCTAAATACAGTACATTCGTTAGTGCTTGTGTAGTACTTCTTGATTCAATTGCGTTATTTCTAAGATTCTTAGTTCATACTATAATTCAATTACTCCTAATTATCATAGAAACGTATATACATAAGAGGCTATAGCTTTTTACCGACTCAGGCCTAAACTTTGTGTACAAAACCAGTTGATCAATCCCTCTATCTACCATGGCCTTAACCTTCGTTTCTGTCTTCCATAGTCTATCGTTTTTTCCACTGCTTCCCAATTATTTTTCATAATTATCAATTAGTCATTATTACAACTTCCAATTATTCTTTTCTTAATATCTATCAAGTGGTCAGTTATCTTCACCCTAACATTTCTTATTAGTCGTTGAATTATTACGTAACTTACTTTCGATATCTAAGTTTTGTAAACAATTCGCGACACGATACTAATTCAATTTTACATCACTGGCTGACAACTTCTGGCTGTCGACAGCAGTCAATCCATGATGTAAATTATCTTCAAATTAATATCATATGTTAAACATTTCAGGAATACGGCTTTTAATCAATATTTATCTTTTAATACTGATTCATTGATTCCCATCCCAATGTTATTGATCCCTAGTGATATTACATTGTTTAAAGAATACATTCATGATTATGTAGTCTGGGATTTATCGCCGTACTGGTAATCACTAAGCAACGAAGGCCTTCTGTATTGTGGCTAGTTTCCACGACATATAATTTTTCTTTGGTCTTTACGGAGAACTTGAACAAAGGGAATTAGTAAGTAACAAACAATAAGGAGAGTAAATTAATTTGTTTATTGATAAGATTTCAAAATAAAAAATGACATCAGTACACATTTTTATGCCTCAGTGTTCATATTGTTATTTTTCTATGACATGGATTACAATAAAAGTTTTAATCTCTTTGATTCCATGTTCCTCTGTGTAGTATACTATTGTAGTGACCTACTTTTGTCAACAGAACGCGATTGGTTCGATGAAAACAATTATTATTTTAACCAATTGTACCAGTGATTGTTTTATTGTGCTCGTTTGTTTAACTGTGCTAATAACAACCATTTCGGTCTTCCATTTGTACTCCATCGCTTCTACGCGGTTTTCGACTACGCACGCACCTTTTTCTTGCCGATCGCATCTGTACTCCTTTGGCACGATCTCGGTATTCTTTCGATACCACGAGATTGCCAACAAATATATTACAACTACTACTATCATCTGCCTTCTGATTTTTGGCCTACAAGAATCTTATTGGTCTATTGGCACGTAGTCTGGTAGTGGTGTTCATAGTCAAGCTCAACCCGACACCACGCTACAATTGGTTTGCCAAATCTTGGAACACGTCTCAACCTCGGTCAAATCTTCCAAAGAAGGCAATTCGGTGAGTCTATTGTTTTATCTATCCACGTCTGTCATATATTTTCATATTAATTTTTAATATATAAAATACTCGACATGACGGATGACGATAAGTATAGTATTAATATAATAGACTCCGATGTACGCGTACCGAATCCTCGGCACTTTTTATTCGCGTGACGATAAATTCCACGCCTTACTCGAGAAATTCCCCAGAATAACTAAACCACTCGAGGAGATTTCATCGGTGACCAATCGTGTGGTACACCACATAGTCACCCTCGGACCACCAGTCACGGCAAGACCACGCCGACTGGCACCGGAC